TGAAAGAGTACAGTTTTGTGTATCTGTCCTAAGAAAATAAGGTTAATTATACTAATGTTTTGTCCATCTTCTTGGGGAATTGACTGCAAAACACTTTACTCAGAGAAGCTTTTGGAAATATTGTATAATTCTGCATCTTCCAGAGATAGAATTTTATGACAATGGATATGTTATCTGTATTCTAGAAACCCATACTTCCCATACTAGGGCTGTCAGCCAGTAATGAAGAATGAAGTCCTAACAGGCACTGAAGAGATGGTGAATATTAAAGCCAGTAGCAGAAAATAAAGAATAGAATAGGCTAGTAAATATTCATTTTAGGAGCAAAAGAGAGTTTGGTTTGGTTTGTTGATTTCTTCTGCTGTCTGCAAACATAAAGTTGAGCATGCCTAATTCAAATAATCTTTAATACTAACTAGAAAAAGTGGGAAAAAATATTTTGAGAAATGTAGCTTTTGTCTTAAGTAAAAATACATTCACGTGGTTAATCTGTATATAAGGCCTCAGGAAATGTACTTAATATATTTTTTTGTGGGGCTGCATGGAAAAAAAAATCAGCTGTTTAATATAATTCAAAACAAAAATAGACACACTGTGATTAATGAAAGCTTCAAAAAAGATTTTCCAGGGATTATGAAACCACGTTCCTTTTACAGTTAAATCCATTGTATCTGCCAGGTATTATCAAAGAATGGAAGACTTATTTAAATTACTAAAACTAGGATAAAATAGAATCCTTATGCAGAATTGTGTTAGTGTCATCACTGAAGCTCCTTGTCCCAATAGAAACAGATTCGTGCTCTTGGGTGTTCTGAAGCCCCAACTGTGGGGGCTGCAGCTGAGGAAAACTGCAGCAGGGGACTAATTGCATATCCAGATGGGCTTCATTCTGTGATAAAGCTGTGAGACCCGTGGCTAAGCATTGCTATTTCTTGCAAGTAAAGCATGCCTATAGCTCCTTTTACCTTTGGATATCCTAGTTTACACTTACATGTCTTGTGATCTCTAGCCCATGTGAAGCCTTTGTCAGAAGCTTTTACTGTCAGAGGCGATAGAGACCAATCACACCGAGCATATGCAAACAAGCAAAGCAAAGAGAAAAAGCTCGAATTTTTGCTTCAGACATCGTGTGTGTGGGATTTGGTTGCCTAGACATTGGCACTGTGAGCCATTTGAGATATATGAGGCCATTGCAACATCTGGCATGTATGACACAGTTCTAGTGCATACTCATGCCTTTTTCAGAGGGTAGGTCATCTCTCCTACAGCACATTCACTGACACCAGGGCTGATTTCAGTTACCTGCGTGGCAGTCAAGTATCACTCTAGGTCCAGGAGGTAGCCTGCAAAAGCCTCCCCATGTCTGTAATGAGAGCTTAGAAAGCTGACAGGCTTCCTGGTCCACCTCCACAGGGTGGAAGGTAAGTGATTAAACAGGCAAAAGAGACTGAATAAAGGGTAAAGACAACAGTGTCTCAATAAATAAAAAAGTCTTGGTTAGCTGCCAGACTGATACGCGATCACATTAGTTTTTAGGCATAAACTCAGCGTTATGAGATAAAACTGCAGTTGACAATCTTTAAATAGACGTGTTTTTAAACCAAGGAATTAAGTTTACTAGTAAATCTTGATGGTTTTAGATTTCATGTGATTATAGCACTTGATGATTAAGACTGAAATAATGAATAATGTTACAGGCTGTTATGGGGTAGGGGAAGACTTCTCATTTAAAGGAAAATTTCTGAGAAAGGAGGAAGACATGGATGAATGAAGGTAACTGAGAAAGTCAGACTGATCATGCTGAAAGAACTAAGGCAGTGCTAAGGCTTGCAATAAACTTCATTTTTAAACACGAAGAAACTTAATAAAAAACTGAATAAACCTTACATGAAATTTGAAGGGGAACAAATTGATTCAGAAGTGTAAGATGGTCCAACTCATGTAAGGACAGAAATCACTAAAGTGCAGTAGATGGTTTGATTTTTGGCTGTTCTGACTAGAAATGTAATACTATGATTTATTGATATTATAACTGCATATATGATAAATACAAACAATTTAAAGTAAGTTTTCTGGAAAGACAAAGAAAAGAAAATCTGGAATTACAATGCCTTTTTCTTATTTCTTTTTTATGAAGAAACTGTTGCTTGATAGCTTTGCAGAGGACATCCCCAAAGGCAATTCTTTTCCATAGGCCAGTGAATCATGAATTATTCCATAGCATTGATTCTGTTACTCCCAGTGGGTGGCAATTTTCCCATTTGTAGTAGTTCCAAACACTGCGTTTCCTTTAGTGGCAGAAAAATTACACAATGAATCTGTTTCGTATTAGGTTTTGATTAAACACAGACATTTGTTATAATTTTATTCTCTTCACAGAATTTACATTTTTATCTTACAAATGGAGTGAAACTAGTTGCTTTGTCTCGTGCTTTAACGTAAGAATACATTTTTGGATTACTAGAGTGAGGCTTCTTTGATAGTTTAGTTAGTTTTATGTCACCCTATTAAACATCCCCGTTCGGTCCCCATGTGTTGCCTGATCTTGTTGAGAGGCGTCCCTGCCCATGTCAGGGAGGTTGGATTAAATGATCTCTAAGGTCCCTTCCAGCCTAGGCCATTCTATGATTCTATGATAACTTCCTATTAAAAATGCCTTATTACTCATGGTAGACAAAAAGATGCTCAGATTCTGAGGATTTGTACTGCATGTGAAATCTCTGTTCAGGAATAAGACACACTTCCATAGCTTGGTCTGGCTTTTGACCTAGAAGTTAAGGAAGAAACTCGGGATATCTAAACTACTTTTTACCTTGACTACTGGGAAAGTGCAAGTAATTCAAGTTGGCATACACAGAGATTATCCATGTAAAAGGAAGAAATAGATTTGGAGTAGGTAATGAGAAAGAAACCAAATTTAACTTTTTAGGCATCCTGTAGCTGATTCAACAGAAATTAGTCTTTCTAATTAATGAAGACAGAAACTATACAGAAAAATAACTCATATGGGGAAAACTCCTTCTTTGTGACCAAATTAGCCATTCCCTCATTCTACTTCTTTTGTGCCAGCTGACATGTGGAGAGTAACTAAAAATCTCTGCCCCGTGTACTCTAGATATTATTTGCATTAGCATAAGTGAGAGATTTGTTCTTAGCTAAGTGAACGTAAGTGAACCATAACAGAATTTTAAGGGTCTGGACCAGCTCCCACTGTAATAAGAGTCTAAGTTCTGTGTACTTCAGTAGAGCAGAGTCAATCAGAAGAAAAAAAAAAGACAACAGAAAAAAATACATCTTAGTTTTACGATTGTTGTTCTTTGAGTTTTATTAGTTTCATCCTTCTTTACCACTGATATAAAGTTAAATGTCCTCTATCAGCAATGTCTTTTAGCCAAGGAAGTTCAACACAGCTCAGTGGGACACAGTGTTTCTTCTTTTAGACGTGCTTATCTAAAGGTAAATCATATGCTGTGTTGGATAAGTATAAGGAACCACCTTCTCTCAGTCCTGCAAATAGCATAGAAGAGTAACTATGGAAAGCT